TTTACATATTTTAAAATTGTAATTAATTTATATATAGTTTTTAAAGTTACAATTGTTATTGCATTATGCTGTTCACTAAAAATTTTTTTTAAACTGTAAACCCTCTTATTTTATGTGAGGTTTAGAGGTTAGTGAATCCATTCAACAATTTCATAATACACCCAAGTACCAGGCTTCGACTTCCGTGCCGTGGTGGAGAGTTCATTTGAAGAACACAATCGTTATGGTATTCGGGCAGTGGAACGAGAATCGCACCGTGGCATCATCCGCCCTCTCCCCCTCAATATTCCCAAAGACAGCGTTGGGTACCCTAAGCGTAGCTAACTTTACCGTCGAGACGGCATTTAATTTTTTTTGTAACTATTTTTTATGTAATTGATCGATCGACAGGTCTGCCCTCCGGGCTGCTACTCAAAGGTTCATCGTACTATCCTAAGATATCTAAATGTTGACGACAGACTAACAATGCAGTGGTGTTTGTGTTAACAAGCGGAGAGTTCCAGTACAAACGGTGCCAGAAGCAGTGTGATTGTACGTCCGTCTTACCTTTCCTCTGAACGTTGAGTATTGGCCAGATCCCCTCAATTCCCATGGTACCAGATACAGCCGGACTGTAGTATGACCTAGACTGCGGAGTAGATCGGAGCACAAAATGATCTGCCCTGAGTGCTGTGTCACCAATCATTGTATGAATCATTTCACTTTGCTGTTAAATCTCTTATATCGTGTTTTCACATTCATCATCATCATCAGGTGCCTTGCCGACTGGCGTGGGTGATCATGCCTCTCCATAATCTGCGATCTCCTGCAGCATGTATCAGTTCGTGTGCCGACACACCTCCATGCCATGCAACAAGACTGTCAAGCATCTTCTCTCGTTGTCTTCCTCTATCTCTCCTTCCACATATCTTTCCAGTGGTCACAACATGTTCTATTTTCCCTCTTCTCATCACATTGCCGAAAAAGGGTGACTGTCTCCTTCTGATGTCTGTGATAAGTTGTCTTCGGGCTCCCGCCTCTTTCAAAACCTCTTGGTTGTCTTTGTTTGGCTGTCCAAGATATTCTAAGCATTCTTCTGTAAAACCACATCTCCGAGGCCTCCATAAATTGTTTGGCCTGCCTACCGATTGTCCAGGATTCACAGCCACATGTTAAAACTGGATGTATGTAGCAAGCAAGAATTCTTTTTCCAACCCTCAATGACAAGGATATATTGCACAAGATGTTTTTCATTTTATAAAATGCAGTTTTTGCCTGTCCTATTCTATTTCTTATCTCAGTTATGCATCTTCCATCTGATGTTATCCATGTGCCCAGATACTTAAATTTCTGTACTTGTCCTAAAATAACACCATAAACTTTTATTACACACTTAGGAATAATTCGTTTCTTTGATACCACCATTACTTCTGTCTTCCCATTATTCAAACTGAGGCCCATTCTTCCACTTTCTAACACCACAATGTCTATCATTTCCTGTAGTTATTTATGACTTGTTGCCATCAAGACTGTGTCATCAGCATAACGTAAATTGTTTATATTGTGCCCACCAAGTTTTCACATTAGCACCGACATAACAAAAAAAAAAAAAATTATATCCCAGCAGTATACTGGAATGTCATCATCATCATAAAGTGCCTTGCCGACTGGCGTGGGCGATCATGCCTCTCCACAATCTGCGATCCGCAACTGTGTGTATCAGTTCGTGTGCTGACACCACTCCATGCTATGACACAAAACTGTTAAGCATCTTCTCACTCTGTCTTCCTCTGTCCCTCTTTCCACAGATCCCTCCAATGGTCAAAACATGTTCCATTTTCCCTCTTCTCATAACATGACTAAAAAAATTGATCACCTTTTTTTTTTTTTTTTTTTATTTGTGATAAGTTGTCTTCGAGCACTCGCATTTTTCAAAACATCTTGTCTGTTCTTCGTAGCTGTCTAAGAAATTCTAAGGATGTTTCTGTGAAAGCACATCTCCCCAGCCTCAAGATATTGTTCGGCTTGTTTATGAATTGTCTAGGATTCACAGCCGCATGTTAAAAGTGGCTCTTTATAGTAGGGCTGTACCGAATATTCGCTTCGTATTCGCTTCGGGGCCGAATAGTGGACCTAATAACTATTCGGTATTCGGTTGAATAGTTGCGGTCGGACCGAATACGAATAGTGGTTACCTTACTCCCGTGTGTGTGGGTGTGAGTGTGTGTCTGTGTGTGTGAGAGAGAGAGAGAGAGAGAGAGAGAGAGAGAGAGCGAGAGAGAGAGAGAGAGAGAGAAAGAGAGAGATCATGCATTTTTCGTTCTTTCAGGGTGTCTTCGCCCAAATCAAATTTGAAGATATTGCTAACGAGAATATGAAGGTGCGTTTAAATTACATCGAACGGACGGCCGAGCAAACGATGGGTTTGAAAGAGGTGTGAGCCCGAAGACAACAAATCACAGACATCAGAAGGAGACAGTCGTCATTTTTCAGCCATGTTATGAGAAGAGGGAAAATGGAACATTTGGTGACCACTGGAAAGATCTGTGGAAGGAGGGATAGAGGAAGACAACGATAGAAGATTCTTGGCAGTCTTGTTGCATGGCATGGAGGTGTGTCAGCACACGAACTGATACATGCTGCAGGAGATAGCAGATTGTGGAGAGGCATGATCGCCCACGCCAGTCGACAAGGCACCTATTGATGATGATACACTATTCGTATTCGGCCGAATAGTTGGTCTCACTATTCGTATTCGGCCGAATAGTGAAAATCACTATTCGGTTCAGCCCTACTTTATAGCATGCGAGAATTTGTTTCCTAACCTCCAATGGCATGGATTTATTGCACAAAATGTTCTTGATTTTGTAAAATGCAGTTTTGACCCGTCCTTTTCTATTCTTTATCTCGGTTACATATCTTCCATCGGATGTTATCCATGTGTCTAGATACTTAAATTTCTGTACTTGTTCTAAAATAACGCCTTTGACATTTATTTTACATTTAGGCACTATATTTTTTTTAAATCCCCACTGCTTCTGTTTTCCATTATTCAAAATGAGGCCCATTTGATAACTTGCTACCACTACCGTATCTATCAATACTGAAACATAAAAGGATATTATTTACTTAATTCTCAACGTTATATTAGATTGTTTACAGATTGTATTTTTGCTTATTTGAGATACGTATAACTACAATGATCCTTGCTGTTTTACAGTGCAAGAGTTATACATGAAACAAGTAAAACCTAATCAATCGATCTTTCACCAATACACCCGTTTCTTGGCTTTTTATGGAAATTCCCAATGAGGGCACTGTTGCACCGAAGGTGTCGCAACGCGCTATACAATGAGCGTGCTTAGTCGTTTACCTAGTTATGTCAAAAGGTATAGGAGCGTATCTTATGTCATATGCTAATCATTAATGTACATTAGTTGGGGCAAATAACTGACTGACGCCAATTTGGTAAACTCCCTTTTTGCGTTTAATATGCAAGTCATTTCCGTGTGGGATGCAATTTTTCGTTATTTGCCGTGTGCCTGAATCTAGCTGGGCCACGACTGTGATATAACGGCTGAAAGGGGTTTCTGCCACCTCTCCACGGGTGATCCTCATCTGAATAGTGGCACTTTATGTCATCGGGTGTTTATCGCTTGTGTGATGTCCTAGTGGGGTACAGCAAGCATTTTGCGTTCCGTCTCGGATCAGGTCAGACCGTCAGCTGGATTGCCTCTATATACTCGCATGTCAGCAGCAGGTCCCTCATGGTTCCCCATAGCTTGTTCTGTACGCTTTGCTCTTGAGGCCAGGTGTCTTTTCGAAGTTGTAGGTAGAGTGGGCAGGTCTACAGAATATGCTCGGGTGTTTGTAGTAAAACATTTTTTAACGTTATTTGTGTTGTTTTGTGCACGTTTTTCTGCTTCCCCATTTTGTTAAGCTTTTTAGTCTCTGGAATTCCTTGTATTAGCTTGACTGCAGTCACCCCCATATTGTCACCATTCTTGGAGAGTGAAGAGTCTATTCATTATATTCTATCTTATTGTAAACATTTACAGAAGCAGCTCTAACTTATTTTATTCTCACTATTCACGTAAGTACTTCTTCTCTTTGTTATTCACAGGCTGTAAACTCCGGTGGAAAGTTTTAGTTGCTTGTCCACATCTGGACTTTAGTTTTGTTCTAGAATCTCTGTGTTGTGTGCACATCAGTTCAACATATCTGACTTAAGGGTAAGCAGATTGTTGGTTCATTGCCTCTCAGGCAGAAGCACTCCGACTTCGAAGAAAGCCTCCCAATTAGTTAACTGTTACGACGTGCTTTTGGGGGGAGGCATTGGGTCTATTCTTGTTTTCCCCACAATGGGGACCCCATAATCCACACGTTGAAAGTCGGTACTGTAAAATGTGTTTATTACCTTAATATAAATAAATAACTTATAAACATAAAACTGAGTAGTCTAAAAATTATGTAAAAAACATTTACGTTTACATGAAAATATGAGCATTTAAAAAAAATCACGTTCGCAGGATAAGTAATTACCACGAAATTATCGAAAATACAACGGCATTCATTTGTAAACACTTCAGTGCTCAATTACACGTAAAGTTTTACACTGAATACCATTACACAATAATATATATATTAACCTCTGACCTTTGACATGTCAGTTGGAATTCAGATATTCTGTTTCACGTTGTTGACCTGGTACTTACAGTCTTTTTTTTTTTTCTTCTGGAGATTCGCAACGGTACACAGTGCACAAAGGTGCACCTTTTAAGGCAACTTTTATTTCCCCAGCGCAACTGTCATAGGTACTTTGTCGTTAGCACCAGCATCTTTGCGAGACACCTGTGGTGGTGAGTACTGGTACGTTGTCTTCTAGAGAAAAGTCCTGCCTACACGGTATTGATATTGTTGGCTGGACACTGTTGTTGGCTAGAGGGGTAGTAAGTAATAATCTTGTATTTTCTATCAAGAACGGTTGTGAAAAATTAGTTATTCGACTTATTAAGCTAATAATGAGCAGATTGCTGGTGCTCCTCAAAAACACTAGAGGGATTCGAACTTGCAGATCAACAACAGACTGGTCTGCCACAAGTTTACCTGCACCACCACACAGTCTTAGCCCAGTGCTAGGAGCGCAAGATGTAATAGTAGTACCGAGGAGAAACTATCTGGCATGTTCTTCACTCCAGGCGGTACGAAGCCACAAGTAAGTTGATTCGTTGAGCTAGAAGAATGTTAGTGTTATTTATATTATTATTTTTATTCATCATCATCATCCTTTGTGTGCCGTTAGATGTCACATAGAGCTCATAGTTTACAGCCGGTGAATGCGAAGAAGAAGAAGAAGATGTGGAAAAATTGACACTCTATATTTAGGAATTTTTGTTTTTCAAGGCTGCCAACACTGTCATTGCTGCCCTTATTTACCACTTTTCATATGGAGAGGCATGATCGCCCACGCCAGTCGGCAAGGCACCTGAAGATGATGATGATGGGCAGGTAGAGGGTCTTTTAGACTGAGGATTTAGAGTCACATGCATGGCATTGAGACACCACGATCCATGCAGACTAGAGATTTATTTTTGTCTCCAACAGAAACATCCCTGACCTTACCAAGGATTTGAACCTCAGTCCCTTACAGGAGGGTCTAACGGGTTTTTTTTTTAACCTGCTCTTTCACTTAAAGAATACGCTCTGGACACTCAACCTTTTTCCTAAGCTGGCTCTCACGTTAATTTTTTCCTCTCTGTCACTCAGCCTCTCTCTATACTGCCCTCTATGATCTCTCATTCTGTGTCTGCCTGTCTCTCTCTCTCTCTGTCTCTCTCTCTCTCTGTCCCTCTCTCTCTCTCTCTCTCTCTCTCTCTCTCTCTCTCTCTCTCTCTCTCTCTCTCTCTTAAGTTTGCAGCCAGTTTGTTTCTGCACATTGGGTTTGTCTAACCAAAAATGTAACCTCCCCCCATTCTTTCCCCCGCTTGTCCTTTTCACATGGAGACTGCACTTCTGTTGTCAGAGGGACGATCATCATGTAGCCCTACTGTACAGGAACCTTACACACTGGATCTCACAATCCATTTGCTAGTTTTACCTGAAACAGTCTTCTGATATGTCCAAACTTCCCCTGGTACACACGATTAGACTCACCATCTACAACCAAAAAATTGTTTCATCCAAATCTATTTCCAGTGCATCTTTTCATACATCTTCTGTTGCAACTGTTGAAGCAAAGAAGTGGAGCTACATACATGGACCGTCTTCAGTTCCTCTGCTGGGGACTACCATTGGAAAGCGTCTTCAGGAGAAAGTCGAAGCACATCCAGACAAGACAGCTGTCATTTTTTTCAAAGATGGTATCACCTTGACATTTGCAGATCTGCTAGAAAAGGTGAAGGGTGTGCCATAGTTATTGTGTTTTATTTTTTACATTTAAGATAGGTCGAAGACTGGTCAAAAGTTAGTGCGTGCTTGGATTAAATTGTGAATACAAATTAAATTGATTACCTGCCTTTATGTTTTCATGTCATATATATATATATGTGTGTCTTTGGGAAATAGTTGTTATCCTTATTTCTCTGTGCCTTGAGTCACAGCACAAGGGTAGGTCACCAGTAGTGTTGGGTGGACCTCTTCGAGACAAAGAGCCCGGCACTACATCTGCCTGGCTGGATTCCATGTGATTAGCCCCACATTGATATATTTTAATCCATGTGCGGGTTACGGGGCCCTGTTATAGGGAAAACAAGAATAGAACCACTGCCAAAAGCATGTCGTAAGAGTTGACTAACTGGGAGCTTCCTTCCAAGTCAGAGTACATCTGCCTGAGAGGTGAGGAACCAGAAGTCTGCATACAAATGAGTCAGATCTGCCAAACGGATGCACACGCAGCAGTCATTTCTGGAACAGGACTGCAGTCAGATAGTGGATGAAAAACCAGAACTTTCTGCCAGAGTTTACAGCTGGTGAACAGGAAGAAGAAGAAGAATATATATTTTAATTTGTGACATCATGAAATGGAGGGAACAGGTTGTATTTGGCTAGTGCGACGACTTCACATCTTAGAGGGACTGGTTAGTGCGAGGACTTCACATCTTAGAGAGACTGGTTAGTGCGACGACTTCACATCTTAGAGGGACTGGTTAGTGCGAGGACTTCACATCTTAGAGGGACTGGTTAGTGCGACGACTTCACATCTTAGAGGGACTGGTTAGTGCGAGGACTTCACATCTTAGAGGGACTGGTTAGTGCGAGGACTTCACATCTTAGAGGGACTGGGTTGCGACGACTTCGAGGACTTCACATCTTAGAGGGACTGGTTAGTGCGAGGACTTCACATCTTAGAGGGACTGGTTAGTGCGAGGACTTCACATCTTAGAGGGACTGGTTAGTGCGAGGACTTCATATCTTAGAGGGACTGGTTAGTGCGACGACTTCACATCTTAGAGGGACTGGTTAGTGCGAGGACTTCACATCTTAGAGGGACTGGTTAGTGTGACGACTTCACATCTTAGAGGGACTGGTTAGGATGTGACCAGTGTTATGATCCAGCACAATGCACAGAGCAACTAAAAAAATAACTATATCAATAAAAAATGTCAAACTAAACAAAAAGTAGAACTGCTCAGCTTGAGATTCTCAAAATCACAAATGACAAGTGAACGTTATGGCTAGAAAGACTTGATCAGCACATGACATGAATAGACAGTGTTATATTCACAAACAAGGATAAACAAAATCACTTAATTGAGATATCTCTGAGAGAAATCCACATGTCTGCCTGGCCACTTGAATCTCTAACACACGTTTGAATACAGGAAATTAATCCTAGCCATAGAAAGTTGTTGCTGGCAAAGGTCATAACTCAAGAATATTAGATAAAACTGCACTGGACTCTAAATCCCTAAGGCAAGTTAGAGCCCATGAGACAGATGAGGTGATTCTTAAGAGGCTTAGAGTCTCTGTCATTGGAGTGGCTAGACTTGATCACTATAGCCTCCATATTTAAAACACCTTGGTGACTTTGAGAACTGAAATGCACCAGTACTGGTTTGGGCACACCGTTCTGCACATCAGAAAGATTTGTCTGAACCTCTCAGCTAGTCATAGGCCTGTTTCACCAATGTATTTCCTACCATATCTTTTGCAGATGAAGGTGTAAATGACACTGTGGTTTATGCAATAGAATGCTTCTTGTATGTGAAAAGTGGCATTAGGGAATGCTAAACTATCTGCCTGAACCACATACAGGCAAGTCTTGCATATGGGTCTATGACAAGAGACCAGCCTGGTGGGAGGGGGGTGGTGGGGCTCAAAGGTGGGATGTAATTGTCATTGACTAAAAAGTCCATAATTGTTTTTTGATGTTCATACCTTGTGATGTAATAGCTAGATCTGAATGGGTTTAAGTAATAACTTGGAAACTGTTTGTGGCCTCATAATTAACTCTTTGAACAGGTGGATAAGCTGGCAGCCGGATTATTGTCTCTGGGAGTTGGCAAGGGAGACAGGGTTGGGATATGGGGACCAAACACGTTGGAGTGGTTTTTAACACAGTATGCGGCCGCAAGAGCTGGAAATATTCTGGTATGTGTTTTATTTTTCTCTGTTTTGGATACGTCAGCCGAAAGGTACAAATGCTGCAGCCATGTTGCAGATGGGTACAGCAGTTTTCTTCTTCTTCACGTTTACCAGCTGTACACTCTGGCGGAAAGTTCTGCTTGTTCGTCCACATCTGAACTGCAATCTTGCTCCAGAACCTGAGTGTTGCGTGTGCATCAGTTTTTGCAGATCTTATTCACTTGAATGCAGACTATTGGTTCCTTGCCTCTCAGGCAGATGCACTCCAACTTCAAAGGAAGCTCCCCGATTACTCGACATGCTTTTGGGCAGGCACTGGGTCTATTCTTGTTTTCCCCACATAAAGGCCCCTGAACCCACATGGGGAACAGCAGTTTTATATCCTGGGTTCCAAAAATATATGCAGGATACCTCTTTAATTACTAGTAAACTGTTGTATAAAACTCTTTAAATGTGTTGATTTAGAGAAGCCAGTTTAGGAGTCATCATACAACAAGCAAAACCTTTGACCTTATCTAACCTGCAGAAAAAAACAACTTTTGAGCTTCTGCTAGTTCCTTCGCATCATACATTTACTTGCCTAGAACATCTTTAAACACTCTCTGTCTATCTTTCTCAAAAGCTGGTGCTTCATTGAGGAATCTTTCCTGCCATTTAATGGTTTTCATGACATTTGGGTTGAACAAATCACATCAGTTTTGGAAACACGATGCTAACTATAATCCAATTTTCTGTTATGTTCAAACCTTGTGAATTGTCAATATGTCTCTTCAGTTTGATTGACAGTATTCTAAGAATTGTTCAGAGAAAATTCTTGTTCATCTTCATTTCCTCCAGTGATCTCGGGGAAGAGTTAGGAATATGAAAGTGCTGTCTTCTGTGTGATTTTCTAATCCACCGTGTAAGTTTATTTTCATTTCTTTAAAGTTTTTATTGTTGTAATTTCTCCATCTTTTCTATGATCGTCACCTTTGCAGTATGCCCTCACATTTCTTTCTCATGGCTCCTTGTCGCAGTTGATACCCAGGCATTCTTGCCATATGGCCAAACCATTGAATCTGTTCTTTGTTAATAAATTGTTTAGCTGATTTTAATTTTTAATCTTCTTGTAATTATTTTAATAACCTTTGTTTTAAAAATCTCTCCTTGTTATTTTGCAGCTCTTGTAAGAGATCTCATGCTTTTTGTAACTTTTAAGTTTTTTTTTTCTAAATTAGTGATTGGGAAATAGTCCATGATTCATGTCCGTGTTTTGCTCGAAGAAAATTCATGTTCACAGAATGTTTCTTTTATATGTTTGCTGTTGTTATGCCATAGCTTCTTAATTCTGCTTAATCTCTGCATTCCAAGGATCTGTCTACCTCAGAAACATATGGGTTGATGGCTTGTTAGTTTATGAGTTTATGCTATTTTTTTTATAATTATAAAAATAATCTAAACAGTATAGGTTTCATATGTAACTTAAACCAGATACTATACAGATGGGAAACCATTATTACTTCTGAATTCAGAAATCTCTGTTTAAAAAAAAAGTAAAGGACCCTTTTCCACGCCTTTAGGCTTATAGGGCATCAAGGGCTAGACCTATATTTTTATAGACCAGTCGGCACAAGATGGGTGATGTGGTCAGCATCACGCCAACCGCCTTTACTTCCTGGGACTGCACCCAGTACCCACTCAAGGCTAGGTTGACCTGGGAGCCAGGGTCATTTTGAAAATAGTCCGGCTCCGCCAGGGAGCAAACCCCTGACCTTCTGTCTAGCCGCTCAGCCATGGCAACTCCCTGAAATCTCTGTAGGAAAGCTCAAAAATGGCTTCCAGTATTTTATCTTATCCTTCAATATTTTATTGCTTGGGCAATAAGTAAATGTAATGAAGTAACAGCCTCAGACACCTCCCAGTATGTTTGTTTGTGGCCATGTCCAATTGCTGAAAGTGTCAAAGCGAATGTTCATTTTTAGTTTACACACATGTTCATATGTTCAGTGTTTGAGAAAAGCCAGATTTACCCTCGTCCTATGAAGCTTTGGTTATAATTGTGGTGACATATCTGGCTATTACTTAATTGAGTAGTTTTTAGTACTAGTAGTTCTTGTTTGTTTTGCCTGCCACACATGTCTGTCTGGTATTATGTCAGCTGGGTTTCAACTGTCTTGGTGGGTTTTGTGGGAATGCAGTCTTGTGGGCACTGACTGGTCAGGTTCAAAGGTTAACATTGAGTGGATCAACTTTATTGTGCCGGGTTTTATCCCATATGGCTTGGTCTCACTTTGCAGAATGATTAGCTGCATGCTGAGAGCATTACACAAACCATGAGCACTGTAGCTCTGTTGACGATCCACCAGGGTTTTCTGTGAAAATTGCAACATAATGATGCAGCCGTGAAATCAACCCCGCGACAGAAATGAGGCAGAAAGTGAGGCAATATAGTTTGCTCACACACATGTTTTGTTGTCTTTTGTTTTCATGTAGATCACCTTGTTCATGTTTTGTTGTCTAGGGCCAGCACACACATGTTCACTTTTGTAGAGGTTCACCATGTTCATGTTTTGTTGTCTTTTGTAAAGGTTAGAGCCAGCACACTCATGTTCATGTTTTGTTGTCTTTTGTAAAAGGTTAGGGCCAGCACACTCATGTTCATGTTTTGTTGTCTTTTGTAAAAGGTTAGGGCCAGCACACTCATGTTCATGTTTTGTTGTCTTTTGTAGAGGTTAGGGCCAGCACACACATGTTCATGTTTTGTTGTCTTTTGTAGAGGTTATGGCCAGCACACACATGTTCATGTTTTGTTGTCTTTTGTAGAGGTTAGGGCCAGCACACACATGTTCATGTTTTGTTGTCTTTTGTAGAGGCTACTGAAAGTGAAATAGTAGGATGCTCAAGTGACCATATTTGACTTTTACTTTACTGATTACCTACAATGTCCTAGAGTATATTCTTGGTTACCTGACTTGTAAGTTCATAGATTATATTTGCAGGTCAACATCAACCCCTCGTACCGTTCAAATGAGTTAGAGTTTGCACTAAGAAGGGTATGTGAATTGAGCTTTCATGTCTTTAATACATATATATTTAGCATGATTGACATGATTGTAAATTGTAATTAGTTGAAAAAAAAAACATTTCAAACATCATATAGATAATTTTTTAATGCTATGGCGTACCATCTAAAATAATATGCATTATTAGAAATGAATACAATAGTTCAGAATGTTCAGTGCACACTAAAAATGGTCTGTGACTGATTTTTTGTAGGAACTGGAATGAAACAAGGCTGCATTATGTCGTCATTGTTGTTTGGAGTAGCCGTTGATTAAGTAATGAAGAAAATATGTTGCAAAGAAAATACTGCCATTGACTGGGTAGAGAAATAGACAATAGAAAATTTGGATTTTGCAGATGATGTTGTCCTTTTAAGTAAAAATAACAAAGACATGCAAAGAAAAACAGATGATTTGTCGTATACAGCATCAAAAATAGGACTATAAATACCTTATGAGAAAACAAATATTATATACACAGATCTCCAAAAAAACAAATGAAGAAGAGAGCTGGAGAATGAAGTTGGAAAGATGGGGAGAGCTCCATGTAATGGCGAAGGATAGAACGACTTGGCATGACTTGGTCGAGGGCCTATGCTCCATTGGGGGATAGAAAGGCAGAAGAAGAACAACAGATCATGTAGGTGTCATGCAAGAGAACAAACCAATAAAATTAACAGACCATTTCACCTATTTGGGAAGTAGTTTTGACTCTCAAGGAGATAAATTGAAGGAAATTATAATACACACAGGCAAAGCAACAACAATCTTTAAAAGCCTTTACAAAATTACAAGCTCCAAGTTATACAGATTTAAAACCAAACTACAAATCTTCAATTCTAATGTTATTTCTTTTCAGCAAACCCTGGAGAACCACCAAAGATATGGAAAAACGTTAAATGCATTTGAAAATAAATTTCTGAGAAAAATCACGAACATAAAATGGGATGAATTAAAAAAAAGAGGATGTCAGAGAAATTTCTGGACAAATATCTGTATCGACTGCAATAAGACAAAGAAGGTGGAGATATATTGGGCACACTCTGAGATGAAATGAGCAAATAATTACAAAACAGCGCTGAAATGGGAAACACACGGTCTGAGAAAATGAGGAGGTCCAAGGAAACGTTAAGAAGAACATTATTATGAGAGGTAAAAAAATGCTGGGCTCAACTCCTTGTCAGAAATCAAAAGTTGCATGCAATAGAGCAGAGTGGAGGAATCGAATGCGAGCCCTATGTGATGTCTAATGGCACACAAAGGATGATGCTGATGATTAAACCTCACATTAAACTGTGGTCAGCCTTGCATTATTACTCAGACAGTTAAAGTACTATCTATCACAAACATGCACACACATCCTTAAACAAACACATGCCCCCATACATACTCAAATATGGTTCACACACATACATAGACATCGTTTGACCCACCCACACACACACGTATACACACACACTTACACTTCAGCCATCCCTGCATGCTTACAATTATAAAACAGCTGAGACAACACACTATTAAATTATTGTTGTTTACAGATAAAACTGTTGTACCTGATGCAGTCACTAGTCAGAAATAAATTTTACTTTAAATCTAGTCAGGATGCAAGCTTCTCGTAGCTTCCACTGGGTTCAAAGATTTGAATTACTTTAACATGTTGAGTGAAATCATACCAGGACTCAAACAGCTTCCTTCTGGGGCAAGCATCAAATCAGAGAAGTAAGCTGTGTTGTGTGTATTTTTTAAAAATATATTTGTTGAGTTATATCATTTATTTACCATTTAATTTTTTATGTTTTTTTATTTCTTTAGTTGACACCTGATGGCTCTGCAGGTACTAAAAATGTGAGCCATATCAGTTGTCCACATTGTGTCGTGTTCTTTGTGTCTCCGGAGCGCAATCGTAGTTGTTGCTTTTGCAAACTTTTTCTTCTTTGCAATCACTGACTGTGAACTCCATAAAAAAGTTTTGGTTGTTTGTCCACCTCCAGACTTTAGTCTTGTTCCAGAACCTGAGGGTTGCCTGCACATCTGTTTTACAGATTCGGCATATTTGTTTACAGTCTGTGGGTTCCTTGCATCTCAGGTAAATGCTGTAAGAATGCCCCTCTCCCAATTAGTCGACTCCTATGAGATGCTTGTTGGGGAGGTAGTGGGTCTATTCCCCCCCCCCCCCCCCCCCAACAGTGGTGCCCCAGAACCCACACAGGAACCTTTCAAACAATCTAGCATTTGATAAACTACAGCCTGCTTACGTTGATCTTGCTTGGTTCACTCTAGAAACTTCCTTTAGAAAAGAGGATTGCCAGATGACAGTAAACAAGGAACATAAATTTAGGACTTTGCTTAAATAACAAAGACAAATTAGGTGCCTATCCTTTACAGGACGTTGCAGAACCAACCACTAGCATTTTTTTAATGTTTATAATTTTAATAGGCAATTTTATGTCCGTAGTTTGCCATTGCTTACTGAACGGTCAGCTCTTGATACTATTGTCAAAACCAGTGCAAGATGGTCTGCTGCCAAATCATCTGCAATTGGGATTTACCCTAGCACCTCGAAGTTACAAATCTTAGGCATATGCATCGCCTAAACTGCGGAAATCAACTTATTTAAAATATATTTGGTTAATTTTGGATAAAGCTGCATTCAACTTCAAAATAATGTTGTATCTGTTGGAATATTTCATCGTGCTGATATTTCAGATTGCCAGCTTTGAAGTACATATTGTTGATGGGCTCTGACACGAATCCAGGTACTTTGCGCTTTGAGGATGTCTTGGAGTCATCTACTCCATCAAACAGACAGGCTGTTTTTGACCTTCAAGATCAGCTGCAGTTTGATGATCCAATCAACATTCAGTTTACATCAGTGAGGTTCACTGTAACTGTCTTGTCTGTTTTGTAAGAAGTTATAGTTGCAATGACATAATAAAATATTAATGCAGCATTTCAGAGAATTTCTTACTGTCTTTATCAAGCACGACATTCACAAGAAATGCTTCTAGATATAGAAATACTGGATCAGTTTAATGTAGGATTGACCCTGTTGGTATATTTTTGTGGGAATTAAATCATTGATAAATTAATTTTAGATGATTTAAAATATCTTGAAATTGGAAATTTCAGGAGCTAAACCTTTTTTGCAAAAAATTTGGCAAGGTGCTACCAAGAAACATAAACGTAACAACAGTAATAGTACTGAATGTTTATTGCTTAAAGTTGTGACAACTTTAAATTCAAATGTCGCTGGAGGTTTAAAAGTAGAAATAAACATGCTATGACTTATTGAACAAATCACAAACTGAGTTTTATTTATTCTTTTAAATGTTTTAAACTTAATAAAGATAACAGGAACTCACAGAAATGATGTATCCGAATTTTAATATTTCACCGCGGCTGACTGGACCAGAATCTGTTAAATAAATAATGGAATAATCACAGAGTAGTCATGATTTATTGTCTTATCTGTTTCTAGTTAAAATTAAAGTCAGGTAGATCGAGTCGATTATGACTTATGGCCCAGTCTTTCTCTGCAGAATGGCTAGTGGCCTGCCGAGAGTATAGTTATCCAATTGCATTTTCCTATTAAAAAAAACACACAAGAAAAACAGCAACAGCATTTTTATTAGTTGACAGGAAATCCTGGATGCCTAAAAATTATCACTGACCCAGATGAAGAAGAACTGTCAATTACTTGGTTGAACCTCAAAGTATTCTTGCAATTTGAACAGTTTCATTCATTAAATTACAAAAAATGTGAGTGGAGTTGAGTTGAGTCAAGAATTGACATCACAGCACTCGGCGCATTCCCATGCAGGCTCTGTCCTCATCTTCAGCAGCCAGTGCAGAGTTCCAATACTGATGGTACCAGTCACAATCTGGTTATATGCTGTCATGCCTTTCCTCTGAGTGTAGTGAGATAGCCAGACCCTCTGGTTACATCCAGGTGCCTCATTCTCTCCAGGCCATAATAATCTTGTTGTTTGAAAATCAGTTTTATGACTATATTTTGTTCCTATGTTTTTTTTTTAAATTTTAAGTAGTAAAGTGCCACTGGATGGCTAACTGTTTCTTGTGCTTCGACAGTATATTGTGCTCTGTAACTTTTATCATTGTTTTATTAAATGAGACAGATATTTGTGTGTTCATTAACTGGATATTAGGATATCAATAGTAGAATTAAAACTGATTACTTTTGTAAATTCAGGGCACAACTGGATCACCAAAGGGTGCCACTTTATCGCATCACAACATCGTCAACAACAGCTACTTTGTGGGGCTCCGCTGTGGCTACCATGAGCATGTGAGTTCTTCTCTTACTTACTTGATAGACCAGTGGTTCTCAGCCTTCCTAATGCCGAGACCCTTTAATACAGTACCTCATGTTGTGGTGACCCCAAACATAAAATTATTTTTGTTGCTGCTTCATAACTTCAATGAATATGTGTTTTCCGATGGTCTTAGGCGACCCTTGTGAAAGGATCATTCGGTTGCCAAAAGGGTTGCGACCCACAGGTTGACAACCACTGTCAAAGACTTATTTAATGTCAAATTTAAACTCTCTGATATTTATCTTTAGGAAACTTGACTTTTTTTGTTGGGATACAGATGTACTGGACGACACGTGGTGGTGCCCCAGGACCAGGGCTTGTACTGGTCAAGACCTGCCCTTACCTCTCTGTGATCATCCTAGAAACAGCTTCCCAACGGGGGGTCCGTCCAGCATAGGTAGAATCAAACTTTCCTTTGAAGTCAGAATGCGTTAACCTGAAAGGCGAGCGTAATGCCAGGCAGCTTGAGCACTCTGCCTCAGATTGGGTGAAGGTGGGGGGGGGGGGGGGGGGGGGGGGGGGGGGTGTTGGTTAGCCCTGCTTTCCCTGATCTGCCCAGGAGCTCTGAGTGTTTGCCCCCCTCCCCCACCCATCCAAAATGGGGCACTGGAACCCACGCAAGATGTCCTGTGTCAAATTCTGACATTTTAAATCTCACTGCCAGTATCTCACTGCCCATATCTCACTGCCCATATCTCACTGCCCATATCTCACTGCCCCTATCTCACTGCCAGTATCTCACTGCCCATATCTCACTGCCCATATCTCACTGCCCCTATCTCACTGCCAGTATCTCACTGCCCATATCTCACTGCCAGTATCTCACTGCCCATATCTCACTGCCAGTATCTCACTGCCCATATCTCACTGCCAGTATCTCACTGCCCATATCTCACTGCTCATATCTCACTGCCAGTATCTCACTGCCATTATCTCACTGCCAGTATCTCACTGCCCATATCTCACTGCCCATATCTCACTGCCCCTATCTCACTGCCAGTATCTCACTGCCCATATCTCACTGCCAGTATCTCACTGCCCATATCTCACTGCCAGTATCTCACTGCCCATATCTCACTGCCAGTATCTCACTGCCCATATCTCACTGCTCATATCTCACTGCCAGTATCTCACTGCCATTATCTCACTGCCCGTATCTCACTGCCAGTATCTCACTGCCAGTATCTCACTGCGAGTATCTCACTGCCAGTATCTCACTGCCCGTATCTCACTGCCCGTATCTCACTACCCGTATCTCACTGCCAGTATCTCACTGCGAGTATCTCACTGCCAGTATCTCACTGCCCGTATCTCACTGCCATTATCTCACTTGCCCGTATCTCACTGCCAGTATCTCACTGCCCGTATCTCACTGCCAGTATCTCACTACCCGTATCTCACTACCCGTATCTCACTGCGAGTATCTCACTGCCAGTATCTCACTGCCCGTATCTCACTGCCATTATCTCACTGCCCGTATCTCACTGCCCGTATCTCACTGCCAGTATCTCACTGCCCATATCTCACTGCCAGTATCTCACTGCCCGTATCTCACTACCCGTATCTCACTGCCAGTATCTCACTGCCCGTATCTCGCTGCCAGTATCTCACTGCCAGTATCTCACTGCCAGTATCTCCCTGCCCGTATCTCACTGCCATTATCTCACTGCCAGTATCTCACTGCCATTATCTCACTGCCCCTATCTCACTGCCCGTATCTCACTGCCCGTATCTCACTGCCTGTATCTCACTTCCCGTATCTCACTGCCCGTATCTCACTGCCCGTATCTCACTGCTCGTATCTCACTGCCCGTATCTCACTGCCCTATCTCACTGCCAGTCTCTCATTGCCAGTATCTCACTGCCCGTATCTCACTGCCCGTATCTCACTGTCCCGTATCTCACTGCCCGTATCTCACTGCCCGTATCTCACTGCCCGTATCTCACTGCCCGTATCTTACTGCTCGTATCTCACTGCCCGTATCTCACTGCCCTATCTCACTGCCAGTCTCTCATTGCCAGTATCTCACTGCCCGTATCTCACTGCCTGTATCTCACTGTCAGTATCTCACTGTCCGTATCTCACTGCCCGTATCTCACAGCCGGTATCTGTTTTGTGGCTGACTATATCTTTATCAACATTATTTAAAGGGCAGGTTGACTCCAGTCATGCTAGTCGTAAAAAAAGAGAACTTTGGAAAGCAGCGGAGACCAATGTTGATTCTTAGGTGCTCTAACCACATCAGCTCTGTAATTCAAATAAATTAATAGATAGTAAAGTAAAGGACTCTGTTTCCTGCCCTCAGGTATATTGGGCATATAGGGCTAGACCTATATTTTATAGACCAATCGGCCCTCAGTGGGTGATGTGGTCAGCCTCACACAGGCTGCTTTTGCTTCCTATGACTTCACCTAGTACCCATTTGAGGCTGGGTCAACATGGGAACCAATGTCATTTTTTTTGAAAAATAAAAAAGTCTCTCTCTGTTTGGATTTGAACCATGACTTAAGGAAAGGTAAGTGAGCATCTAGTCACTACACCACAGTGGCTCCCAGATTGATAGACACTTATGCTTTAATATTTGCTGAAGGAAACACAGCACTTTAAGTTTACCTGGTTTGCAGGTCTATCAGTTCTGTTAGCAAACGCTAAATAATATTAATAAATGACATGTATTCTTGATCCATCATTTGTTCATTTTTGCTAAGCTGGCAAATAATTCTCACAGAAAGCGGTGATTTGTGCTCCGGTACCACTGTATCACTGTTTTGGGATGGTCATGGCCTCACTACAGATGATTACCCATGGTGCCACAGTGGTGTGGCCTTCACCTATATTTGATCCTGTGTATGTTCTAAAGGCAGTGGAAGCGCACAGGTAAGTCAACAAGTTGCCATATGTTTTCTTTAAATTGTCTTAAAGTTTTTGTTTTTGTAAACATATTTTTTACTTATAGAAATGTTTTCCGGCACAGAAAGAGAGTGATTTTCCTTCCCATTCATGCCTTGTCATGTCACAGGGCCTGTCCTATATTGCTGGGGTGTAACGTTTAAGACTGGCCAGCAACACCTAGTATTTTACTCATTGTTGTCAGCGGTCGGAGATATTCCATGTTATGTATTCCACAATGTGAGCGTTTTTGGCGGTCCCAAAACATGTAGAATTGTCCCTAACCCCAATCCTACCCCGCAGCCTCAGCCTTTGTGGTTAGCACCAGCACCTTTTTTAGACACTTTGTGGTGAGTACCGGCACCTTTTTAGACACTTTCTGGGAGTAGCGGCACCTTTTTAGACACTTTGTGGTGAGTACCGGCACTTTTTTCTGGAAAAAATCCCTGGTCCACATGATATTTTTCATGACTCTAGTAATGAAGCGACAAGTTGCTCAGATCAATGAAAAAACTTGGGGCTAAAGTAATTTTTGGTGTTTAGTTTTCAAATGCCGCCCAATCTAGATAAATGGCAATAATAGCTGGCAGACTAATTATTCAGAATTGTTAGATGTGATCTTTGGGGGTAACGCGTCGTACCAAGCGCCCAGGGTGTATGACTTGCTCCAGTCACATACAAGAGCTCTCTCAGACAACAAAACAACTATTAGGTTCCTACAGGAGAGCAAGGAGAAGCCAGCCCAAACAAGAGCAGCACTATAATAAAGGCACACGCAACAAGTTAACAAATCCTTGATGTTGTCTACGAGTATGGTATCATAATAAACCACGCCAAGTATGATTCTTCTAGTGCGATCAGTCTCTTTATTGTGGATGAATACAAACTGGCATAAACAATGTCAACTAATGCCATGAAGAGGATAAAACAGCTACTAAAGTCATAACAAACTAATAAGCCCTTTATGGAGAACACCAAACACCCGGGGAATCTGACTTAACAGTCCCTAGGACTCCTGGTGAATGACCTCTTAAAACCACTCCATCGACTGCCTCACCATCCTCCTCAATCACAGCATAATCGACTAATGGTGTAGTACACTTGGACAGACAAACTGTAACGAAGATGAATGGGAGATCGATGGCTCACTTTCAAGTCTCCTACTACCTTCCACAAACTCACATCAGCAGTCTCTCCAGACATGGACACAACACCCCAACGAACTATGTCCCGGATGCCTGCTATGGGCAGCTCAAATCTGACTGCTCAGATACGCCTATATGTTGTGCAGTGACAATCCCCTGTGGGTTTGTTCTCTAAATGACCCCTTCACCGCACGGCATTTAAGATAGATGCACCTCTTGACTGCTATCCCAGTTACTCACTGAAGTATCGCTGACTAAAATCCCGTCAGTCAACATCCAAAACTTTCCCCCCATTACAACTCCACATTGGTTAGCACACAAGGTTCCCCGGTGCCTTCCACGCCCTTACAGAAACCCATCAACCACGTGTCCCATAGCCACAACACTGTCAACCCCACAACACATGGCTGATACAAGTCCATACTAAACATTACTGACAGAATTCCCAAAAGCCTAACTCATGATACACCACAATCATCCCAGACAGTTTACAGGAGTTCCACAGAATAACACATTGTTAGAACACAGTCCATTCAACCACTGGACTCAGAGAACTTGTCCATACAGTAAAACGCATTGAAAGCAGCTTACTGATTCAAATTACCCCAGGACTCTTCCCACCCGTGGTTGCATGTGGATCCTACATTCTCACCAACCCTCGGGGTTCATATTCACCGGCTGGTCACACCTGGGTTTCACAAACCCTGTGGACACCGCTGTTACCCATTAATCTCAAGAAACCTATGTCTCATGTAGTGTGGACCTTTTGCACTCGTCTCTGTCATAATTATCATCTAGGGCCTTTAAGCGATCATGCCTCCTCTGACCTATGATATAATTGTACAGCAAAGTAAGTTCAGCACACAACAAGAATCAACTGTTATTATTTTTTAGTATCCCGCAGATGTAATTTTATCTTTATAATGTTACTGAATAACACTGAAAGAATTGTTTTGTGAATATTATTTTCTGTTACGATAATTTAGTTTTTTTTTTTTTTTTTAATTTAGATGCACTTCTTTGTATGGGGTTCCTACAATGTTCATTGATATACTCAACCATCCACTGTGTTCGAAGACCGACACTTCCTCCCTGATCACTGGCATCATGGCTGGCTCTCCTTGTCCAGTTGAAACAGTCAAAGCTGTTCTGCAGCAAATGAATATGCATAAATTTACAGTGAGCACATATGTGATTGGTTGTTAAATCAGTGTCATTTATATTGCAAAAATCAGAATTCAGCAGCGTTTTTTTTTTAACCTTTCATCTCTCCAAAACATCCTATCCTCTGTTATCTTTTTAACATCTTTTTTTTTATTTTTTCTTATAGTTATTTATGCTTCTCCTTTTGTTTAAAAATGTTTTTAAATATTTTGTTTACTTGGCTCCGTGGTTGACCCAGCATAAAATGGCTACCAATTCCTGGGATGTATAGGCGGCTGGTGTGATGCTGACTACATCACCAATCGAGTGATGATTGGTCTATAAAATATAGGTATAGCCTAATATGCCTGAAGGTATAAAAAAGGTCAATTAGTTTACTTTTGACTAAATACCAAATATGGTGTGGAAAAGAGAGCTTTAAACAGGTTTCTAAACTGCTGCCTTCTATCCACTGCTGTTTTTGAGAATATTATGTCGTGAAGCCCCTTCTGTGAAGGGCTTCTTGTACCATCATCTTAAAACAGCAACTGTGTTTTAAAAAATATTTTTAAAAAAGCCTTCTGTCATGGAAATTGAACAATGGTACTGAGATTCATAGAATTGTTGAACTCCTCCTCTAACCTCTGAGCCACAGAGCCACACTGATCTAGAGAAAACAAGAACAGCCACACTGCCCCTGACAATCAAGACTCTGCCCCTGACAATCAAAACACTGCCCCTGACAATCACAACACTGCCCCTGACAATCTAAACACTGCCCCTGACATTCAAGACACTGTCCCTGACAATCAAAAACACTGCCCCTGACAATCAAGACACTGCCCCTGACAATCAAGTCATAAAAGGTGACTAATATCGGAGCTTAGTTGTAAACCATAAAACAATATGCCAACCACCAAGGGCCAGTGAAGAAGACGGAGAAGGAGGAGGAAGAGAAGAAGAAGAAGAAGGAGAGGAAGAAGAAGAAGAAGAAGAACAACAACAACAACAACAACAACAAGAACAACAACAACAACAAGAGGAGGAAGACAAAGAAGGAAGAGGAGGAGGAAGAAGAAGGAGAGTAAGAAGAAGAAGAAGCCACAGCAGAAGAAAAAGAACCAAAGTATGGGAAGAGATATGAATGTCTATGCCTCCTGGCATGACACCTGATGATGAAATACAGCGTGCAAAGATTGTTATCATTTCACATCATTACCGAAGATCTTAGAATTACATTGGTATTCCCCTTTATTTAGTTGGGAATGCCTTGACTTTTCTTCTTTAGTTTTGCTCACCTTCACCCTAAGATGCTCACCTACCTGCTCAAGGGTCTTAAAATCGGCAGATTGCCTCTGTGGGTTCCAGTGCCAAGAAATTCTACTTATTTCCAGTGCCAGCGTCTTTTCCTCACTGGAATTTGTTTAGTTCTTTTTCCTGTATTGCCACACTCAACAGGCGATGTAGAGAAGAGAACCCTGTTGCTGTTAATGCAGAGGTCAACACTCTAATCAGTGAAAATTCAGACGAAGCAGATGCACTAATCTACACAGACGGATCTGTTATACGCAAAAAAAAAATAAGCGCATGGGCATTCACATCACACTGAGCGGGCAGAACAGCCAAAGATGCTTTCTCCATGACAACCAGCAGCATGACGATGGAGGTGATGGCAGTGACACAAGCATTCGCCTGGCTTGAAACACAAAACTACACCCGCGTATGTATACTCAGTGAATCATTGAGGATGATCCGGAGGGTTCAGGCAGATTCGGTGCGAAGACAATGGCTTGAATCATTACAGAAGTCCACTTTGCGTGGAGTCACCTTTATTTTTATTCCGGGATACACAGGTGTCAATGGAAATGAAAGAGCTGATAAGTTTGGCTGGATCCGCTATCACTACCGACGGTCAGCCTATGGATCATGCTGATATTATCAATGCCCTCCAAGAAATGGTAAGGATAGAGGACTTTGGGGGCAGTGGATCCACATCACACGCCAAAGTGGCAGACTTGGAAATTAAGATCGGCAAAGCAGAAAACGAGATGCACACCATACACACCAGAAGACTTGTTAATCAACATAGAACTGGTACTATTAGCCATCGGACGTTGGGATTCATACTGAGGGAAGGATCTGAGCACCTATGGACATGACAAGTGCAATGATGATAACCCAATTAACAACATGCTTCATTGTTTAGTTTCTTTTAAAGCTCAACATTAGTGATTAAGTCATACCATTCTGCACATGCACCAGTTTAATGAATGTTTGTAGCTCGTTAGTAACTGTTTCAGTTGTTCTCCATTTTTCCCACTCCACACACCAGCACTGATTTGATATTAGAATTAAAAATGATAAGTATAGTATTAGTTTTCCTTACCGCTGACTTCCAGAAATTTCCTAGTGATATGAAAACTTCTCTTGCCTTTTGTATACATATTTTAAAATCTCTGTCAGTTTTCCCAACTTATTTACAATACAGACAGTGATTAATGTCAGGTTATTATTTGCACATTCCAGGTTTGCTACGGATCCACAGAGACAAGTCCAGTGTCTTTTCAATCAACAGGCACATGTGCGCTAGAAAAGAGGGTGTCAACTGTAGGAACAGTTCTGGATCATGTTGAGGTGATGTGTTCATTCACAGAATAAGTATGACTAGACAGATTTGACTTTCAGCTGGCAATATCTCAGTGATCGCTTTCTTCCCTTGTACAACCCATTAGGAAGCCCAGTGTGTCAACATCATGAAAAAAAAAGTTGTTTGGAACTAAAAGAGAACTCCAAAATACAGTCAGTTTTATGTACAAGAACTTGTCTATCGGTGTAGATCAGAGAGTAATGATCACAAGGAGAAAAAGAAAAAAATGAATCAGTTTCTTTATTCTTCACCATTCACTATTAAAATAGTAGTTAGTCGTGTTGACAAGGCTGCAAAATCTTTGCCTCTCAGTTCAAGAAATCTGATGTCACCTGATACTTAATTCACTGCCTTTTGTGACATGCTTATTAAGGGAAAATGGGTGGGATTTCCACTTTTGGTACCACGGAACCTAAGCACATGGAATAATTATCCATGTTTATCATAGATAATATTTGTTTTGGACAGTTACATCTTTAAAATCGATTAATTTTTGTTTTCTTATTTTTTAAATGTCACTGCACGGTTAACTCATCAATTTTGTCTTGATTTATGTACTTTAATTGTGACTGTTTTCGTACCACGTATCGGTATAGTTCATTAGTACAAATACAGCACACTTTCTGACACTTTCTTTATCACATAGAGCGCTAACGTTAATTCGCTGATCTAAATTGTTAGTGTAACTGCTTTTGACTATAGTGTTATTATTTTAACAACTTTTCACTGAAGCATTTGTTACTTTAAACAAGAACTTATCAGGATAAAAGAAATTAAAGTAATTATAAGCTGGTACAGAAAGAATTGAGTAAGAAAGAGAAATAGAGGAAAACAATACAGGAGGATTCTTGACAACCTTTTGCGGTTGAAGGGAAAAGTTTCAGCACATGAGTTGATGTGTTCTTTTGGAGACTGTAGGTTGTGAAGTGGCATTATCACCCTTTGTTATTCTGCCAGGCACTTGATAATGATGACATAAAATATGCCGCTGGTTTTGAAATACCTGAATATTAAATGTGAATGATTCTGTTTACATAACTGTGCAGGGAAAGGTGGTTGACCTCAATGGAAGAATAGTACCTGTGGGGTCGGTTGGTGAGCTGTGTACTCGAGGACCAAACAACATGCTGGGCTACTGGGAGGATGCGGAGAAAACGGCCCAGGCCATCACACCAGATCGATGGTATCACACGGGGTAATTGTCTTAGTGAGAGGAAGAATTGACTGGATGTAAGATCTGATCATTTATTTTTGTTAACTGAGATTAGTTTCTGTTAACTGAGATAGATCTGTTTCTGTTAACTGAGATAGATCTGTTTCTGTTAACCAAGGTCTGATTCTGGGCCCCAGAAACCACATAAGAAAGCCCCCCCCCCCCCCCCCACACACACACACACACACACAAAAACCTCACCACAAGCAACCCACCCTTTGAGACAAACAAAACTGAATTAAGTCAGGGTCGGGTTTGCTTACAAACTGGTTGGAATGGATTTCTTTGATTCGTCACATTTGCTGTAAGTTTTCCCATGCTTGGTTTAAGGTTTCACATGTTGGTTTAAGTTTTCCTATGTTGGTTTAAGTTTTTCCATAATGATGTCAGTTCTCACATGTTGATGTTTGTTTTCCCATGTTTGGTTTAAGTTTTCCCATGTTGGTTTAAGTTTTCCCATGTTGGTTTAAGTTCTCCCATATTGGTTTAAGTTTTGCCATGTTTGGGCAGGTCTGACCCATGTTTAGTCCAGGTTTTCCCCATGTTAGTATTCCAGGAAGTCAAAGTCAATATATCTTCTTTCTTCTTTGTTCACCAGCTGTGAGCCCCAGCAGAAAGTCCTGGTTGTTCATCCATTTGGACCTTGGTTTTGTGCCAGAGCCCGAGTTTAGTGTGTACATCAGTTTTACTGGCTTATTTGTGTGCGGGGTTGTTTGTTCCTTGCCAGTCGGGCAGATGCATTCTGTCTTTGAAGGAAGTCCCAAACTAATGGGGTCAGAAATAAGTTATCTCACAAGGTCATTATCTGTGGGTCAGCACATAAGTATCTCACAAGGTCATTATCTGTGGGTCAGCACAAAAGTATCTCACAAGGTCATTATCTGTGGGTCAGCACATAAGTATCTCACAAGGTCATTATCTGTGGGTCAGCACATAAGTATCTCACAAGGTCATTATCTGTGGGTCAGCACATAAGTATCTCAGTAGGTCATTATCTGTGGGTCAGCACATGAGTATCTCACAAGGTCATTATCTGTGGGTCAGCACAAAAGTATCTCACAAGATCATTATCTGTGGGTCAGCACATAAGTTCTCACAAGTCATTACTGTGGTCATAGACACATGAGTATCTAACCAAGTGTAATTATCAGTCAAAGGTTGGATCAGGTTCTGGAACAAGGATAAAGTCCATTAGTGGACGAACAACCAGAAGTTTCCACCAGAGTTTATAGCCGGCATACACAAAGAAGAAGAAAAAAGATAAAAGATTAGTTCAAGATTTTCATTTCAGTTTCTGTGATATAGTCTGAGATGGCTAGGTGATATTTATTGACAATCATCATCAACATCATCAGGTGCCTTGCCAACTGGCGTGAGCGATTATGCCTCTCCACAATCTGCGATCTCCTGTAGCATGTATTAATTCGTGTGCTGACACACCTCCATGCCATGCAACAAGACTGTCAAGAATCTTCTCTCGTTGTCTTCCTCCATCCCTCCTCTTTCCAGTGGTCACAACATGTTCCATTTTCCCTCTTCTCATAACATGGCCGAAAAATGATGACTGTCTCCTTCTGATGTTTGTGATAAGTTTTCTTCGGGTTGTCCAAGGTATTCTAAGCATTCTTCTGTAAAACCACATCTCTGAGGCCTGAAGAATTTGTTTGGCCTGCCTACGGATTGTCCAGGATTCACAGCCATATGTTAAAACTGGATGTATGTAGCAAGCAAGAATTATTTTCCTAACCCTCAATGACAAAGATATATTGCACAAGATGTTCTTCATTTTATAAAATGCAGTTTTTACCTGTCCTGTTCTGTTTCTTATCTCTTATTGACAATAGAATAGTTAAAAACAAAAGCTGAGGTACTGACAGCCACAGGCATTGTCAGGTCACTGTTCAAAGCATGAGGAAAATACAAATGAAATTTATAGTATTGTTAATTAGTTAGTCAATGTTTCAACTTCATTGCAAATATTTTACCACATAATGGTTCCCTTTCTGTGCCATTGGAAATCACACAAAATGGCCATCCCTGTCCCATTTGAAAAACAACTGAGTAATATATCAGTCCTAGCAAAATACTGAAGCTGGCACATGCAAAGTAATTGCATAATGCAGCCGATTTTGGAGAAGAATGCTTACATTTCTTGTACTGCCAAATAATTAACTCAAAGTTTTGATTTTTTTTTAAAAAGGAGTCTGGAGATGAACTTATCATAAACATCAGAAGGAAACAGTCGTCATTTTTTTTTACCTCAGAGGAAAGAAACAGGAACATGTTGTGACCACTGGAAACATTTCTGGAAAGAGATGTTTGACAGCCTTTTATCATGGCAAGTTGAAGTTTCAACAGTGCTGTTTTAGATTGCAAGTTGTGTCAAGGCATGATCGCCCATGCCAGTCTGTAAAGCACTAGATGATGATGACGTAGCCATTCATCTGATTATGTTACTGGGTTACTGTCTAGTCGATAAAGGGACTGTGTGACGTTTATTGTCGTAAGCCATAATTTTTGTCTGGAAATGTGAACACAATTTCTGTTCATCCTTGCAGGTTATTGGGGTACCAGATGCTAGACTGGGTGAACAAGTGTGTGCTTGGATTGTTGTCAAAGATGGTATGCTGCTTACAGCACAGGAGGTCAGAGATTTCTGCAAAGATAAAGTGAGTAATTACTTAAGAGTATAAGGATACATAATTGCAAGAAGAAATAATGCAGAAAAAACATTAAAAAATATGATGTTAAACAAATTGTATAATCTTCCTCTGATTCTTCTTCTTTCTTTTTCTTCTTCTCCTCCTCCTCCTTCTTTTTCTTCTCCTCCTCCCTCTTCTTTTTCTTCTCCTCCACTCCCTCTTCTTTTTCTTCTTCTTCTTCCTCTTCTTCTCCTTCCTCTTCTTCTTCCTCTTCTTCTTCTTCTTCCTCTTCTTCTTCTTCTTCTTCTTCTTCTTCTTCTTCTTCTTCTTCTTCTTCTTCTTCTTCTTCTTCTTCTTCTTCTTCTTCTTCTTCTTCTTCTTCTCCTCCTCCTCCTCCTCCTCCTCCTCCTTCCCCTTCCTCCTCCTTTTCTTTTTCTTCTTCTCCTCCTCCTTCTCCTCCTCCTTCTTCTCCTCCTCCTTCTTCTCCTCCTTCCTCCTCCTCATCCTCCTCCTCGTCCTCGTCCTCCTCCTTCTTCTTCTTGTTATCTTCTCCTTCTTCTTCTTCTAATTATTCTGAGTTCACCCTTGAAAAAGAGGTAGAAACGTGTTGCAGTGGTTCACAGCTTGCCTTCTATGTCTGCCCACATTGGCCAATCACATCCATTTTCAGCGAACCACTTGGTCACCTTTTATGACATGTTTGTTACAGGTGCAGTAGTGGATCTGTCCCCCCCCCCCCCCCCACCCCCCTTCCTTACACAAAGGGGATGGGGAACTCACAGAGGGAACTGTATCATCTATATTAAGGTATACACATTTGTTCTATGATTGGCGTACAGGTGTCAAGCAGAGCACTTCAACCTGTCAGAGAGCGAGGTTGCTGTAAACCTTGGCATAAAGTTCTGGTTGTTCATCCACTTCTGGAATTTAGTCTTGGTCCAGAGCCTGAGTTTTGTGTGCATAGACATTTTACAGATTAGGCTTATTAGTATGCAAACTGATCGTTCCCCCCTTCTCAGGTGGATGCACTCCGACTTTAAATGAAACATCCCTAATAAGTTTACTTTTATGTCATGCTTGTTGGGGGCAGTGAGTCTATTCTTGAACCCCCCCCCCCCACCACCTTCTTTACAATGGGGCCCCAGGACCTCCATGG